GAATTAATTCTAATGGTCTATTTGTAGATATTACATTTTTAGATTTGAAAGAAGATTTGTGCATTTTTCCTTGTTGACATGCATCACAAAAATTATTTTTAAAGGACATCTTAGGCAAACCATTTACAGAATCATTTTTAGAAATCTTAGACATATGTTTAAAGTTAACATGTCCAAAACGTTTATGCCATAAAATAGAATCATTAGATGATGCAATAAGACAATGTTCATTTGAAATATTATTCATAGATAACACATATATGTTATTTTTTCTATAACCTTTAAAAATAATGGTTATTAAATCAATATCATAAATTAAGCATGATTCTTTTTCAAAAACAATTTTATAACCTTTATCACAAAGTTGACTAATACTTAGTAAATTATGTTTAAGACCATTAACTAATAAAACATTATCAATGATAGGTTTGTTTGGATTACCTACGGAACCAATACCGATGACTTTTCCTTTGTTGTTATCTCCAAAAGTAACGGTACCACCATCCTTGTTTTGAAAAGATGACAACAATTGTATGTTTCCAGTCATATGTTTGGAGCAACCACTATCCAAAATCCACCTATCTTTCTTGGGTACCTGAAAAAATAAACATTTACATTTTGCTATCCATACTATGTTGGGTCCTTTAAATTAGCCTTTAGGAAACCAAACCCATGATGAGTTTGATTTGCCTAAATAGTTAGATGATAAACATATATTTTTAATAAAATCAGAAATATAAAAATTCTTATGTAAAGAAGATAATTCTTTTGGAACCCAAATTGAAAAGAATTTTTCATTGTCACTTACTTCATCTTGTGCCATGAAACACATGTGAGCACTTTCCTTTTCTTTAATTTCTTCATCTAAAGATGATTCATCACTATCATCCCAAGTGACTGCCATTGCTTTCCTTTTCTTGTTATTTTGAATGTTGTTGAAGTTGTTGAAATAACTTGACTTTTGCTTATTCTTCAACATTGGACAATCTTTCTTCATATGCCCTGGTTTATTACGCTTAAAATAAAGAGAGTTATTTGAAATTGAACTCTTAGATTTAAAATTACCTCGTTTTATAAATTTCAGAAATTTTCGTGCAAACATGCCCATTTCTTCATCATCATCATCTGAATCTTCTTTATCGGAAGTAGTATTGAAAGCAAGAACTTTCTTGTTCTTTGATTCTTCATCATTCTTTCTATCTTCAATTTGAACTTTATATGTCATAAGATTACCAATAAGATTTTTAACCGTAAGAGTTGACAAATTATTGGCTTCTTCAATTGCGGTAACTTTCTTTTCTCATTGTGGAGTAAGTGAACGAAGTATCTTTCTTATCATCTCCACTTGAGTATATGTTTTTCCAAGACCAATGAGAGAATTTGTAATGTCGGTGAATCTTGTAAACATTTCTCCAATAGTCTCATTTTTCTTCATCTTGAACAATTCAAATCTATGCATAAGAACAGAAATTTTAGATTCTTTAACTTTATTTGTACCTTCATGAGTTACCTCAAGTATATGCCAAATATCGTATGCAGATGTGGCCGTTGACACCCTATTGAACTCATTCTTGTCAAGTGCACAAAATAATGCATTCATTGCTTTTGACTTCAAATTTGCATTATTTCTTTGAGAAGTAGTCCATTCTTCAAAAGGAGTTGTTGGCTTCTCATATTTTGTTTTCACGATGTTCCAAAGTTCGTAGCCAATTGATTGAAGGTAAATCTTCATTCGGCACTTCCAATAGTTGTAGTTCAATCCATCGAACATTGGTGGACGATTTGTAGAGTGACCTTCTTTGAATTGTGATGTATTTATAGATGCCATCTTTCACCTTGCTCTGATACCAAATGTAGGATCTGAAATAGATACACTAGAAAAATTTATGCAAAGTATATTATAAATTACAAAGAAAAATGGTAATCTCAGAAATTCACAATCACAAACACAAGGATTTATACTGGTTCCACCAATCCGGTGTACATCCAGTCCCCAAGCAAATCCCGCTTGAGAGTTTTCACTATGATTTTGAATAAACTTACAAAATCAAACTCAAACCTGAGCAATTTGTAAGTCCCTGCAAATTGCAACACCAATTAACAAACACCTTGCCAATATGAACACCAATCTCTAAACCAAGAGATCAACCCTCTCAAACTCGAGAGGAATCCTTTTTGAAGCAAGAACACAATTAATCCTATAAGCCTTGAATGTGTAGTGAAGTGCAGCAGTGGCTTAGGATTCTTTTAATCTCTGTAAATTGCCTAAACAATAGGTTTTTGAATAATGTTCAGAGGCAATTTCAGAAACTTCTCTTTTTCTCAAAATCTGAATATTTTTCACTTGAAAAATTGCACAAAGATCAAAGTTTATGGGTATGTATATATCTACAATTTTTCTGAACAAATAACCTATTTATAGCCCTTGAAAAGACAAAATTTTGAACTTTAAAAACGTTTAAAAACGGCTATAAACCGTCATAAATTCAAACTTTGAATACTGGAAAAACTGTATCTGTAGTCGACTACAATTGTCATTAGTCGACTACACTGAGTTCAAACAGACTCTGTGTATTCAGAAAATTTCCCAGTAGTCGACTACAATGCTCATTAGTCGACTACACTGTATTTTGACAGAAACTGATAAAATAAAATTTGCGTTCAGTAGTCGACTATAATGTTGATTAGTCGACTATACTGTAAAACAACAGAAACTTATGTTTCTGTCAAACACTTGAGTAGTCGACTATAATCCATTGTAGTCGACTATACTGTAAATTGACAGAAACATGTATTTGAGTTTTATACACGAGTAGTCGACTACTATTCTAATTAGTCGACTACTAAGAGTAAAAATTATGAAATAAAATATTTTTATACTTAAGTTTTAACTATAATTCTAATGGTTAACATAGGGGATTTCTATAATTAACCAACACACTAAACCTGTGTTAGTGTGTTCTAATATTGTGTGTGTGTGTGTGTGTGTGTGATCAAGGCTTGTACAATAATTCTAAGTAAAGAAAATATAAAATACATTATCTCATCTGTTCTTCATTTTCTTCACTTCATAATGCCTTGAAAACATCTTGCACTTGTTCATATTCTGATATTGAAATCTGCATATAAAAGTTAGTGCACACACTGTATAAATTGTTATCATCAAAATACTATCGTGGAGATATGATATTCAACACCTCCAACATATTGTTTGTCTAGAATAAATATAAAACACAAACACTAGACAAACAATATTAGATGTAAATTATTTGTAAATCATCATCAAAACAAGAAGGCCAACAAGTCACACCAGGAAAGGAGTAGTCGACTACATATGTTATTAGTCGACTACTCTATGTTAAACAGATTTCTGTTTCTCAGGTTTTGATGTTTTTATGATTATTTCTTAAACAAAACTCATTCAAATCACATGGAACTTAGGAAAAAGATTTTAGTTTTCTAAAATTTACTATTAGAGATTAGCTCACATGATTTAACTCTTGGATTAATCACTAATTAGGGTTTAACTTCATAATTATTCAAATCTCACATAAAAACATGAATTTTCGCATGATTAACTTGGACAAGGTTATAACTAACATTGAACAGACATAAGCTTGTTTAAAACACATTCATGTCATTGTGAACTCACAATCTAGGGTTTAAGCATGATTAATTTACAAGAAGAACTTGATAAATTAACAAAATAGGGTTTACACATGGGTTAAACTTAATTAATAAATTAAAAACGAGATTATTCTTTACCCTAATGATCATGATCATGCTTCTAATGTAAACAATAAGTAAAAATATCAGATCTATCATGGGTTAAAGATCTATTATCAAAAATCTATCTTTTATCACATGTAACTATGAATAAACATGCAAATATTGATTTAAACACATTAAATCTTTAAATTACTAAGGGTGCATGTTTGGATGAAGATGATCTTGCCTTAGGGTGCTTTTGAACTCCTCAACCACGTGTATGCAAGATTCCTCTTCAACCACGATCACCAAACTCCGCCTTCCTCTTGACAGACGCCTCAAAACTCTTCCAAAACTCACGATTTAGGGTTAGGGTTTAAGAAGTAAGGTGGCTGGTGTAAATCTCACGTGAAAGAGGGTAAAAAGAGCTTTAAACGAGTATATATACACATAGATACAACTGGGTTTGAAACAAAACGAATTCGACCTGAAATCTGAAAGAAATCTGGAAACAACCCGATTAGTCGACTAATGCCTTCATTAGTCGACTAACGACCTTACTAGTCGATTACTCTGTGTAGTATTTGACTACTAACAACTCAGTTTTAGGTTTGTGCATGATTCCGTGCATGTTTCTCATCTATACTCACATATATACATTGGATTGATATCAAATCAATCCCTAGCATACTCAAACATTAAAATATGTTATTTATAACCATATAACATACTTATTATTATTTATCACAATTTATTCAAACTTTTAGGGTTTTATAATGCACCTATCTTTTATTCAGTTGGTCTAAGGGGGATTCAAGTCCTTGCGATATCTACCTTATGCATAACGATTGAAACAACAGCACCATAGCACGACACTAGCTTAAAAACTTATGGGGGATTATTGGATTTTTTCATCAAAACCGTTTTCCAAGATTTTTCAAACTATATATATATTAACTACTAGTACTTTTCATAAATGCTTAGTAGCATAGTGGAAAGTTAAAGTTTTGGTGTTTCAAAAGATCCTCTGTTCGAGGCTTGCCAACGACAAGCCGAGAAGTGTTTTATTTTAATTAATCTCTTATAAGTTCTAGTGGGCCGTGGGCCGTGGACTGTGGGCTCTTGGGCCGTGGGCTCGTGGGTTGTGGGTCGTGGATAGTGGGCTCGTGAGCCAGGGATCTGGGCTAATCGGGCTAAGGAGTTAAGTGACACTATGTTAGGCGCACTTCTTACGGAGGTATTGGGGCTAGGTGGCACCCTTTGGCACCACATTGGCTGCCACGAAGGTCGTCATGAAGGTTGCCTCGCAGGCTGCTTCGCATTCGCACGAGGGTGTGTCCCTAGCGTTCTCAAGATCAGACGATACTCCTCTAGTTGACGAGGTTCGTCAATTGGTTGATGAGGTTCACCTGTTCAACGATGCTCGTCTTATTGATGAGGTTTGTCTGATTCACAAGATCAGATGAGGTTCGCTTGTTCGACGAGGTTCACTTGTTTGACGAGGTTCGCCCATTCGATGAGGTTCGCCATTTGACGAGGTTCGCTTGTTCAATGAAATTCGTCCTATTGACGTTCGCCCATTCGATGAGGTTCGACCTATTGACGTTCGTCTGGTTGACGAGGTTCGCCCTTTTGATGAGGTTCGCCCGTTCCGTTCAACGAGGCTCATCTTATTGACATTCGCCCATTCGACGAAGTTCGTCCTATTGACGAAGTTCGTCTAATTTGTTGAGACGCGACCCTCGTGTTGCGAAGTAACACGTCCATTGATTGCCTCACCTTCAGGCGTTACTGCATGCAACAGTTATAACAGCATTTAAATCAAATGATGTTACAATCATAATTGTTATTATAATTTGTAACAACCACATTAATTGTAGGTGACTCTTGAGCTGGCCTTAGAGGCCTATAAATAGTGTCCCTTGGGGCAGCTCTTGGATACACAAATGTGAGAGCTCTCGTACACACGAAATATATTGAGCTATTATGCTGTTGCTGCAGAAACTGTGCCCGAAGGAACTTTCTTTGAAACCGAAAGGTTTTGAACCAAAATGTTCTGAGATCGAGGAGATCTTTGCCTTGACCGAAAGGTCTTATAGATCGAGGAGATCTTGACAATACTTGGTTGGTGCACACCACTGTATTGTACTGCTGTTCCTGGAAGCAGTTTGGCATTGGGATCCTTACACCGGAGTAGGCAAAATATTACTTTAAGCATAACGTTTCACAAACGCACAGCAGTTAACCTTGAAAATTTTAAAATTACAGCTCATCAACTTTCTCTGTTTTATTCCAGATTTAACCACAATCTCCAACATAAACTTATAAAACAATATAAGAAAGAGAAGTGAAAAATTACGGTACTTATTAGTAATGCAAATTCCAAACTATTGAGGGGTTTATGGTTATCATATAAAATCTAATGATTATTAGTAGTGTAAATTCTAAAAGTTTTTTTTTTGGGGGGGGGGGGGGGGGG